TCTCAGCACCACATATAAATAAATGAATAAAATAAAGGTTCATCAATGTCTAAAAAAAAAGTTCAAAAATTAATTAATTAAAGGTATTATGTCCATCTACAACTAACAAATAAAAAAAGCAAGAGAAGAGCTGGGTGCAGTGGTGCACCTGTAATCCCAAATTACTCAGGAGGATGAATCACAAGTTTGAGGCCAGGTTGGGCAATTTTTTGAGACCCTGTCTCAAAACAAAAATTTTAAAAATGGCTGGGGATGTAGTTTAGTTTTCTTTAAAGAATAATTATCATTATCTAAAGATCAGGGTAATGGGTTCAATTCTCAGCATCGCATATAAATAAATAAAAAAGCTTAAATTGGGCAGGGCACAGTGCACACACCGGTAATTCCAGTGACTCAGGAGGCTAAGCCAGTCTCAACAATTTAGCAAAAGCCTCAGCAACTCAGGGAGACCCTGTGTCTGGGGTTAGGAGGGAGGAACTGAGAAGGAACTGTAGCTCAGTGGTAAAATACCTCTGAGTTCAATTCTCAGTACAAAAAAAAAAAAAAAATTTTAAATTGTACCTGATGTTAAATGATTCTAAATGATTCTATCTGGATTATAGAACATCATTAACAATTGTCTTTTAAAAAATGTGAAATCTGGGCTGGGGATGTGGCTCAAGCAGTGCACTCCCCTAGCATGTGTGAGGCACTGGGTTCGATCTTTGGCATCACGTAAAAATAAAATAGAGTCCACCTAAAACTAAAAATAAATATTTTTTAAAAAAATGTGAAATCTGGCTGATTTTGAAATAGCCTAGCTTTGTGTCAGAACTGCATTTTTAATAAGGTTTCCAAGGTGATTCTTTAAAAAAACCCACATATTTTAAGACTCCGCCTAGAATGAAGGAGTCAATCGAGGAGGGCATTGATCTTGCAAGTTCCTGTCTAGATAGCTCTCATATTCAAGTCTCAGTTCAAATGTAACCTCAGAAATGCTGTCCAGGTCACACCAAACTTGCTTTATATTTAGCCCAAATTTTCCCCCACACCTAAAACCATTATTTATTCTCTCCCTCCCTGYYKCTGTCTGCCTCTTTCTATTGCCACCATCTCCACCTCCCTGGAACACAAGGTGAGACAGATATGAGTCTCACGAGCACTTGTGAGACTCATATCTGTCTTGACCATCACTTATCCCTGATTTGTAGGACTAGTTTCTAGCACAAAGAAGTGCTCAGTCAAAATTTGATTAATAAAATCGATAGTCCAGAATTTTCAACCCACCAATAATGCCTTGAAATTCTTCCTTCATAAATCTAATAACCTAATAAATACATTTTATCAAATTCAGGTCAGTTAAAGTAGTTAAGTGCTTACTTTCTGAGCAAAGAAAGAGGGTAAAAGGACACACAACAGGATGGGTACCACCTGGGAACAAGGCAGAATCCCAGTACCCATTCCAACCTATTAAACAGAATATGTACTTCAGTAAAATCCCTAAGTGATTGGCACCACCGTCAATGGTAGAAGCACTAATCCAAGTAGTTTGGCAGGCTGAGGCAGTAGGATCAAGAGTTCAAAGCCAGGGCTGCCCAAGCAGTAGCGCCCTCGCCTGGCATGCATGCTGCCCAGGGGTTCAATCCTCAGCACCATATACAAACAAAGATGTTGTGTCCGCCAAAAACTAAAAAAAAAATAAATAAATAAATAAATAAATAAATAATTCTCTCTTTAAAAAAAAAAAAGTTCAAAGCCAGCCACAGTAAGTTAGTAAGGCCCTAAACAACTTAGTGAAACCCTGTCTCAAAATAAAAAATTAGGTTTTTTGCTGCCTGACTGCTGCCATCATGGGTAGTCTGTATGCTCCAGGATGCTCCCAGCATGCATGCATGCTGTCCCAGTCAGCTCTGCCCTTTCACCCCAGCACCCCCACCTGATTGAGGTTGCCATCTAATGATGTGAAGGAGCAGATTTACAAACTGTCCAAGAAGGGTCTGACTCCCCCATAAATCGAGGAGATTCTGAGGGACTCACAAACATGAGTGTTACACAAGTACGTTTTGTGACTGGCAATAAAATCTTTGAGAATCATTAAATCCAAAGGACTTGCTCCTGATGTTCCTGAGGATCTCTACCATGTAATTAAGAAAGCAGTTGCTGTTCAAAAGCATCTTGAGAGGAACAGAAAGAATAAGAATGCTAAATTCCACCTAATTCTGATAGAGCCAAATTCACTGATAGGCTCGATATTATAAGACCAAGCAGGTTCTTCCCCTAAATTGGAAATATGAGTCATCCACAGCATCTGCCCTGATGGCATAAATGTGTATATGTACTCAAGCAATAAAAGTATTAAAATAATAAATAAATAGAGCTGGGGATGTGGTTCAGTGGTTAAGTACCCCCCCCAAAAAATGTAGTAGTATTGGGGCTGGGGATGTGGCTCAGCGATAGCGCGCTCGCCCGGCGTGCGTGCGGCCCGGGTTTGATCCTCAGCACCACATACCAACAAAGATGTTGTGTCCGCCGAGAACTAAAAAATAAATATTAAAAAAAAAAAAATGTAGTAGTATTAGGTAATGGCTGGAAGCCCAGAGCCTGAAACAAAGTTACAACAAAAACCTGCATAGTTTTTTTACTCTGATACTTCCATTAACAGTAATTTTCCCAGAGGTTGGGGATGCTGAGACACAAAGATTGAGAGTTCAAAGGCAACCTCAGCAAAAGTGAGGCACTATCTCTAAATAAAATACAAAATAGGGCTGGTGGTGTGGCTCAGTGGTTGAGTTCATCCCCTTACCCAAAAAACAGTTATTTGGAAGGAAATAATCTTCTAAATATTCTAATCAAGTAAGCCTTAAAATGCAACTGGAAAAAGATATCCCTCTGGGAGGTCCCTGGAAAGGTCAAAGATATCCTTTATATGGTTAAAAACAACTCTTCCCTCCCTGGACCTCTTGCTGGGAATCTAACCCAAGGCTCATGTATGCTGGGGAAAACACTCTACCACTGAGCTATACACCCAGCCCTAAAAGTAATCTTTTATCATACTGAAAATGCAGTAAGTCCAACATTATCTTTAGAAGAAAGTATAAGAAATCTACCTTTACATGAAACAGGATGCGGAAAACTTAAACCGGGCCATAGGGATGGACTAGTCAACAGTTGTCAATTCTAAAAATACCTTCCCTGATTAGCTGAAGGAGTTTTTGAAGCAGCCCATTTGTAACATGTTTCCTCTACAAAAGTTTATCTCCTTTAAAATGCAGTTCTAATGGGATCTGCCTTTAGTACACAGACTCACAGAGAGGCACTACCTCTTCCCTAATTAGCCCGAAACCTACCTTAAGGTAAAGAACCCACGTCACCTACCACGCTATCCTCTCCTTCGCCTAACAAAAGAAACACCTAATTAAGTAAATACAAACACCCGCCCCCCCAAAAAAGCGCCACTTTCTTAAAGAAAAACCTATTCGTGTGCCTCCACTATTTAAATGCCTATTTTAAAACATCAGAGGGAGAAAATAAAGATTCCTAAGTACCACACGAAGGAACTATTGTTTTACACTTGGAGAAATGTAGTTTGAGAAACCTACTTCTGTCTAGAAAAAAACTAGCTTTCAACTTCAGCAGGATTACAAGCAGTCCTTACTGGAAGTATTTCTCTTTTCCAGGGATCCCAATAATACACCTGTTGTGCGTGAGGGCCACACATTAACCTGCCTGGAAGGTTGCCTTCTCCCCGCCCTAGATAATTCCCCAGGTGGGCAGTGCGCCCAGTGGGTCCTGGGCTGGCCTGCGGATCCCGCGGCTTCTCCTCGGGTTCAGGGGCTCAGGGTTGCGCCCAGAGTCAAGATGTAGAGGCCATTTTGGCCCCCCTATCCACTTGCTCTCAGCATACTTCCTCCGACGAAGGCAACAAGTCACTGGCCGTGCCCCGCCTAAGGAGGTCTCGAAAGTCCGCTGCCGGCCTCGGGTCCCCGCGACGGTGCGCCCTGCGGAACTCAGGAGCTGCCGGCCCAGTGAGTGCTCGTCCAGCAGGTACTGCCCCGGGGCAGATCTGCCCACCTGGCAGCAGCCTTTTGGTCACTGATGAGAATCTAAAGCTCGAGTAGCTTCCCTCGAAGTCCAGCCTCACTCGAAATTAACTCCCCGCCCCAGCCCCCGGCTTAAAATCGACATGGGTTCACCCAACTCCTACTAAGTGGATTCAAAACAGCCGGTGTGACCCACACCTTGACTCCAGGAATATTTCAGAGTAAACCCAGCCACCCGCTCTCCCCGGGATACCCCAAGGGATGGAGTGGGGCGGAAATATTGTAAGGTCCCGGGGATCTAAGCCGGCAGGGTCATCAAGTGGCTCACTCACTCCCGCTCCCGGGCTTAGGACCCCGAGGAGCAGGGCGCCGAGCGCCTCTGAGGACCTCACAGAACTGCAGCACCCAGAGCTGAGCGCAGCATTCTCGTCGTTCGCGAATCTCCCGTCTCCATAAAAGCGGAAAGTTGCTTGGGCACTGGTAGCTTCAAGCCTTTCAGGCGAATAAGACTGACCTGCCGCTCCAAGTCGCCCCTCGTCCGGGGAAACAGTCTCCCAAGTTCCCTGGCGCCGCTTTCTTTGCCGACCCGAGCCTCTCAGATTCCCGCGAGCCCCAGCCCAAGGCGAAACCACCACCGAAACCAGCGCCAAGCGTCCTCCCCAAATCCTCCTCTACCAGCCCAAGGCACCGAGACTCCCTCGCGGGGACCCTAGGCAGCACCGCGAGCCCCTGGCGCCACACCCAACTCTCACCCACTCACCGCAGCCAGGCCCGACCCACATCGGGCCGCAGGAGCCGAGAAGCGCTCACCTGGCGGGAACACCTGACTCCAAGTGGGCAGCCAGCAGGCAGCCAGAGACCCAGCGGGGGACTCAGCCTTCCTCCTCCTTCCCCTCACCCCAGTCGCCCGGCCCCGGGGCATGCGCACCAACGCCAGGCGGGTGTGCCGGAGGCCCGCACCCCTGAGCCCGCGCGTCCCACCTGCTGCGTCCTCGGCGAGCTAGCTCCACAGCGCTCGAGTCGGCTTTCCCCGGACTCCAGCTCCTCCACCGGAGGAAGGAGGGAGTGGGAGGTGGACGCTATCGAGAAGGTGTGGTGTAGCCGGCCTCCTCCCTCCTTGACCCATTCACCTGAAACTCGGATAGGAGGGGGAAGGGAGCGGTGGAGGAGGAGGCGGGAGGGCCAGGCCGGTCTCCGCACACCCTTGCAGCACGCGGAGTTAAAGGAACAGCGTCGAGTTTTAGTCGAGTTTTAGTCCGAAGGAGTGGGGGCGGAGAAGGGGTTCCAGGCAAGGAGTAGTCCTGGCACACTTGGGGGCGTTCTCTGAGCTCCGCCTGCTGCTGATAGACGGTGGAGTGTTTGTCGGGGAGACGGGGTGTAAGGTCTGGAGGCGACTGTTTTCCTACTGAAAGAGGGTCCTAGGGTGCCCAGCACTTTGACCAGAAAGGCAAGTCCTCGAACTTAACTGCTCCCAAAATCTAATTTAACGTAAGTTAGAAAACAGTAGACAAATGCGTCGCTCCAGCGAAAGAACGAATTTTTCTCGAAAACTTTGCATTAATTTAGGACCGATTCTTGAACCTGTGAATTTAAAAAAGGAACATTACTCAGAGTGGTTGAAATGAAGGTGAATTACTGTATATATTGGTGTCAGTGGATCCTCAATTAAACAGGAACAAAGGGCATATGGCATTTTACATATCACCAAGTCAAGAGCCTCTTCCCCACCCCCGCCCCGAATATAATTGTGGTGTGACTGAAGGTCTAAAGGGGATTTAAACTATTGCAATATTTTTTGGCTGAAATAATAATAAAATCTTAGTTCTGTTTGCTAAGTTCTTTTTCTTAGTCATAATCTATACTTAATGATGTGGACTTTAACATTTATGTATGCTGTATTTTTCTTAAAATTGTGCTCCCGTCTATAGTAATTTTAGTTCTTGCAAACTGAATTACTTCAAATCTGCATTAAAGACTAGAATTTCAATTTCTTAAATCCTCCTTCTTTTTGTCTTCCAATCTGGAATGTCAGCATTGCTAATAAATTTCTTTCCAATCCCACCCACTTCTCTGTCTTTAAGTGGTTRAAACTGTCACTCTCCCATACATTAGCTCTTAAGGCACAATTCAATACTTCAGGAAGTAAGAGCATTATATAAATGCAAAATATTTTAACAGCCTACATAGATAACTAATCTAATTGGTTTCTTTTTTTCACAAAGTCATTGCTACAATTACTTCAATATTACTGTGTAGTGTTTTGAATGATGCAGCTTAAATTGATATTAACCCTGGGGAAGTCAGGTTAATCCTTTTAATATTTTTTGTCAGATTATTGAAATCTCCAAACATTCCAACTTGGTTTATAATTAAACTAGGGAACATTTCCTAATACTCTCAGATTGGTAAGCACATGTCTATTGTTTTATAATGTTTTTGTTGTTATAGTACTGGGGATTGAACTTTCGAGTTCTTGGCAAGGACTCTACTACTAGCTGTGTCCCCAACCTTTAATTTTTATTTTTTTAAATTTTTTTGTAATTTGAGACAGGGTCTCCCTGAATTGTTAGGGCTTTGCTAAATTGCCAAGGCTCGCCTCAAACTTGCCATCCTCCTGCCTGAAACTTCCCAGTCACTGGAATTACAGGGGTGTACCACCATGCCTGGCAGTTTTTTCACTTTCAAAGAAATATAGGGGCTGGGGCTATAGCTCAGTGGCAGAGCACTTGCTTTACACATGTGAGGCACTGGTTGGTTCTCAGCGCCACATAAAAATAAGCAAAATAAAGGCATGCTGTCAATCTACAACTACAAAAAAAGTTAAAAAAGAAAAAAGAAAAGAAAGAAAGAAAAATATAGGTGCTAGAGTGTAGCAGAGTGGTAGTGTTGTTTAGTATGGGTTCAACCCCCAGCCACATATAT